TCATTAGTCAAAGTTGACTACCATTAACTAAGAAAAATCAGTTTGCAAACCTTTATGGAACATAGGGAATAGAACAATGATGGTTCAAGAGGGGAACAAGTAGCCGATGTTTCAAGGGGACATAACAAACATGATTAAAATGACTAGGGGCAGGTTCGGTTTATTGGGTTCCGTTTTGATCAAAAACCAAATACGGAACTGAAGTAGAAAGTTCAGTTCGGTTTCGGTTCAGTTTTACTTTTCAAAACTTGAAACCATAGTTTAATTGGTTCGGTTTGTTTCGATTTTTTCGGGTGTTTTACTAAGAATTGTCATTTGATTTAAAATGATACAATAGTTGGAGGGATCAAACATATTACATAAAAAATGTAAGCATACTAAAACGAATAAAATAAAAAAGAGAAGAGATAAATATATTTTGAATTATATGAGTATGTGAGAGAGATAAAAGTGTATATGTTTTTAATTTAAACTTTTTATTGTTCTATCAATTTAAAAACCTCAAGTTACATAAGTTAATTATTAGTAACTATCAGTAAAAACATATCATCGTTTGATAAATTGCAATATACATACATAAAAGACATAATATATAGATCAACATATCAATAATATTATTGGTAATGTATGTGTAAATGCATTTATAAACTAAATTAACATAACACAAAAATTATTTTTTAGCACGAGAAAACCAAAGACTATCGATGATATTGGGAATAATTAGGAATAATGTTTAACAATTTTTAGGAGTAACAAATACAATTTCATATTTTAATTAGTTTGGTTTATTCGGTTCGCTTCGGTTTTTAATGGTAAAACCAAAACCAAACCAAACAATTAGGATTCGGTTTGATTTTTTACATTCGGTTTCGGTTTTTAGCGGTTCGATTTTATTTGGTTGCGATTCAGTTTATTTTGATTCAGTTTTTAATTTTTCTCAGAGCCGGCTATAACGACAGTTGACCCAGGCATCCGCCTAGGGCCTCTGCGTCCAGGAGGGCCTCTAAAAATATGGAGTATTAGATCATTAATCATTTTAATTTTTAATTTTAATACTCGTAAAATTAGAGTTGGCTGCGACGTCTCCTGAACTCATATATCCGAACAACGTAACTTGAGTGCTTGAGATAAATATTATTCTTAAATAAATTTGGGCTTATGATTGAAGATCGAAGTTACTGCTGTTAGCCACGTATACTTGGGCTAAATTAATACGTAGTTTTGCTTATTCCGCTATGCTATATTGATATATCATAAAAAAAAATTGGTAAATACAATAAGTAATTTTAGCTTTAGTTTATTAGATCGTGCCATCCAATAGAAATATTTATCTAGCTTTTAGTAGTTGTAGTAAAGTAGTTATTTTGTTTGATTTGTGATTCTCACTTTTTGTGATTTGTAATTTTTACTTTTTTGTAGACTTGTCTATTACGATTTTTTCTGTTAACTATAAATATGTATGTGTTGTACAGATAGGAAAATAAAAATATAATTTTGGACATTCACATTAAAATTATAAATTCAGAAGAGATTTGTTCATAAAATTGTAAGATTAAAAAGAAAAAATAAGAAATTTGGATCACTATGTAAACAGAGACCACTCCTCAAATATTGTTGACAATGTCAATATATATGGATGTTCATGAGAATGAGAACAATGATGAAAATGAGAACGCAATTATTGACTAGGACGGAGCCAGGACACTGGGCCGGAATGGACTACAAAGATTTTTTTAGAAAAAAAATTCACAGTATTTTCACCTTAAAAATCAAGACATTTTTAAATTTGGAGTAGGCCAAATTAAATGCCTAGGTTGGCTGCTCTCTAAATCCGCCCATGATAATTAAAGGATGAGAATGGACTATAGATAATCATAACAACAATTTAACTATTCGTGATTTAAGTTTAAATGGCGATCACGGTAAAGAAAAATTAGAAGACCAAACTAAAAATTATATATATATATATATATATATATATATATATATATATATATATATATATACTTTTTTGTTTTAAAAATCACATTAATATCATTTATGAAAATTAAGTTTTTTGTTTCGTCTAGGGCCTCCAAAGTTCTAAAGCCGGCAAAATGATAATGAGAATTACATATATTCACGAATGATGGCACCTTTATTCAAGCCGGATGGTTGTAGAGAACTTTGAACTTTTGAGGCCTCAAGACAAACCATTGCAGTACTACTTTAACTTGTCTTCAATCACTTAACTGATCTGCCAAAAAAATAGCCAAAAAAAAACAAAATAAAGCTTCAGAAATAATCAAATCTTATAAAATTGATAACCATCACTTAGGGTATGTTTGGGAGTTGGGTTTCAGAGGTGAGGGGAAAGTTGGCAAGAGTTTATGACGCTCCCTTTCATGTTTGGGAGTTTAAAAATATGGAGATGGTGGTTTTGGAGGACTTTTGTAATCCTCCAAAACTCTTCAAATGCCCTATTTGAGCGATTCTGAAGCATAACTATAAATAACTTTAGCTCAATTAAATAACTATAAATTCAACAATTTGAATTCATTATATATGTGAAGTGATTTTGATTATAACTCTTCTATACCCTTAGGGTTTTTCTTACATTTATATTTTGACCATATTGGAGGTGTATAAATCACTACAAAATAATAATGAATTGATACGAATTTTTGGCAGAGATTAATTTGGCATAAGCACGTCATATTGATACCAAGTGTGTTTTGTCACGAGCTATTTAGCACGGAATCGTCGATCAATCTATGGCAAATTTGGGTCAACCATGCTATTTTTAGTAGTGGATAGGATAAAAAGAATAACTAAAATTTTACTCCGCGCTTTCTCATATGGTATAAAAGATCACTTATATGTTTTCTAAGGAAAATATATATCAGCTAGGAATATACTATCTTAGAACCTTAACTTTATTTCCTGCACCGCCTCCCAAATGTCATTGTTACGTTGTTATTGACGCCGGTGGACGTAGCTCAACTTGTAGATAAGGGGTACCACAAGGATTAATCTTGAATTCGAATCATGTCAATTGCAATGAGAGGTTACTATGTAAAAATGCATAAGGCCTCTGCAAGTACTTGAGTCAAAGCCGCACTCTCTATCTCTCAGCTTATGATTAAAGTCTAATTTACATCCTACCGATTAACTATACGATCTGTGATGGGGACTCTCAACAATGGAATGACATCTATTAGTACTATTAGTTTATATGTAGTAGTATATAATTAAAAATCCAACAGCCCATACTCACATCCCTACTACTAAGAGCATCTTTAGTGATGCCATGGATTTGTCAAAATGAAATGCCATGTCACATTAGTCTAAATTTTTTGTCTCCAACGAAGATATGCATATGGTTTGTGGCGCTGAGCTGGAATGGGAAACGGTGGACAATTTCTATCCCTCCTTCTACTTTCAGGAGGTCCAATTGATAGCTGACTCAGCAAAAGCTCAACATGATCGTTCCTGTAAGTTGTAGTACATAGTAATTCAGTAGCCCAACAAAAGCTCTAGACGGTTGCTGTTGGAGATAAAATTTTATTTTAATTGGATGTGTGTCCACATGAGCTTCATTCGCCATGCACATTAATGATGTGTCCATTTTTATTGGGGTGCAATTCACATCCCCATTAAAGATGCTCTAATAATGAATCACTCGGAAGTCTTCTCGTTAATGCCTCTTTGAAAAGTCAGAGTATTTCAAGAGGTTAGGTTTTCACGTTAGCATAAGTCCTGCCTTTCTAGGTTAGGTTTTAATTTTGGAATTATAAAGTTTCAATCTATTTATATTATTATTGTATTTCTTAATAGATTTCAAGAATTAAATACTTCGTAATTGGTAGTTGAGTATAACAAATTCAAGGTTATTAAGTTGTTAATTTTGCATTTGCATTGAACAAATTGATATGAGGTCATTAGGAAATACATTTGGTTTCTCTGCATTATAAAAAGGTCCAACTTTTTCTTTGAACAGAGTCCTAGATTACTTGGGTCCGACCCTGACGCCCAGTGGGAAAACATCATTGATGAATATGTATAGCAGTGGCACTGGCCGTGCAAAGTAATGAGGGCATATTTAGCCTTTCCTTTTTGAAAATTTAATGACATTATTATTTATGAAAATTGTTTTAATAATATTAGAAATATAGCTTCATTGAGTATTATATCTTCATTTTAAACTAAAACAAACAACATAATAATTTGATTGAGTACCTTTGTCCCCCTAATATTGGTGCAAGATAAGTTGATTTGGCTATCAAGAAAAATAAGTTTGAATGAAAATAAAATAAGAATAATTTTGAATCACATGAACATTATCAAATTTAATGTGAAACAATTTTAATGGGATCAATCAAAAGAAAAATTGAACACTTTTTAACGGGATATGACTATATTAGATGTTCATTCTTTTGTGTATTATTGCCGTGTCCACGCACGTACCATTGTTTTAGATAATTTAAAAATATGTTTATCCCTCTGACTATAATATTTAATTTTAACTCGAAAAGTGACTTAATAAAATAAATATTGTAGTATTGTACCTTAAAATTTGTATGAGAGGAATACATAAAATGCAAAATCCTTTAAAAAAAAAAGTAATACGGAGTAGTAAAATATATTTTAAGACATAATACAAATGAAAGAATAAAATTTACTCCAACATAATTGTGAAGTCCAACTACGAACTTGAATAAGGACCGGAGCGAGTATTTGAAAACCAACATAATTTTCTAAAAAGACAGTGATAATAATAATTTTAATAATTCCAATCCCATTATGTAATATACAAGTGAGTTTTGTACAAGTTTAAGAAAATACTCGTAAAAGATACGTAAGTGACTATTGTATGATTCTAACTTTCAATACGTAATATAAATTCATTAAAAATGAATGATAGAGTAAGAGATAAAAGTGATAAAATGAAAACTTAAAAATTAAATTGAATCAATTTAAAATGTGTTGAGTCATCTCAACAATCCTCTCCGTACATATTAGAAAATGATGAAAGGGAGAGAGCAACCATAATAGAAAAATCTTTCAAAACAACAATTGAAAAAGTAAAATTGGTCCTGTGGAGTGGATCTGATATGTGCAGTGGAGGGCCTGATCCTTTATTCCATTTTTTTATGCCATCATTTAAGGACACATAAGGGAGGATATCCCATACAAGACGAAATACAATTTATATATATACACACAAATTGTGAGCGTGATTCAGATAGAGAGAGCTTGCTCTGATCGGTGAAAATTTTGTAGTCATTCTCAAAGGCAGCCTTCAAACGGTGCTTATCCTCAGCCCACCGTTCATTCTTCCCTTCCAAACTGCCATCTCCATTCAGCTTCCACGCACTACTCAAGTAAAGCTTCCAACTTTAAAGTTCCTACTCTCATCTTGCTCAATTATATCGCCCTTTCTCATCCCTTCTGGTTATCTTTTTGTTTGGGTTTGTGTTGATTCTGCTGCTAAACCTGTGATTTGGTAGTATGGGTTTTCCCCATTCCAAGTTTGTTCCTCTGGGAGTTTCACTTTTCAATCCTGTAACTGAATTTTGGTTTACAAAAAGTTTCTTTACTTTTGAATTATACATCTAAGTAAAAAGATACATTTAAGAACTATTATTATTATTATAATATAATATAATATAATTTCTTAACAGTGATGCTGCTACCCTTTATTACTTCAAAGGTGGCGGCTTTTGTAATTGCATTTTATACTCCAATTATAGTTACAAATTAATAATAGTTGTAGTTATAAATTTGATGAGATGGTGTGATCTAATTTTCCAAAAGTATATCTTTTTGAGGCAATTGGGTGTTCATGAATTTGCGTGTAGTTAGCCTCCTCTTATTGATTTGGAACATTTTGGTTTACTTTCGGGTTCTTGATCTTGATCTGGAATGTGCTTTCTATCATACCCAACCAGGGAGTCCCTTTCCTTTTTCTTTATGCACACATTCAGTGGATAATGACCTGAGTGGATGCCAACTTATAATTATTTTACAATAAAAACAGCTTTCTTGTTTGAAAAAAATAAATCTTTTTAAAATCACTTAATATAATCCAATGCTTTATTGTGTAATTAGTTAAATAGTTAAAATGATAGAACCACTTAAGTAAAAAAAAATGTATCATAAGGACTTCTATGATTCTATCCCCTGACCATCCTTCTGGAATTTACATCAATTATTCATTTCATTCAAGATGGTGAAAACAATGCTCTTACACAGAAGATTTGTAGAAGGAAACTTCATTGATTGTCAACTTAACTCTACTATAATGGGGGGAGATGGGAATACAAATATCAAAATTATTCCTATGTTTGTCCCTTTAAATTATAGGAGTTGTATTTTGATCATTCTAGGAACTGGTTATACGAACATGAATCAACCAAAAATCAAGCGTAAAGTTGGGAAATATGAGCTTGGACGGACTATTGGTGAGGGTACATTTGCCAAAGTTAAGTTTGCAAGGAATTCTGAGACTGGAGAACATGTTGCTCTCAAGATTCTTGACAAAGATAAAGTCCTAAAGCACAAAATGGCGGAACAGGTTAGTTTCTTAGTGTTGCTTCAAATTATGGTTTTTTCTTCCAAACACTACCTTATATATTTATTGTTGTTAATGTTTCAAATGTGCTTAACTTAACAGATCAAGCGGGAAATTGCTACAATGAAGTTAATAACTCATCCAAATGTTGTTCAGTTATATGAGGTTTCTCCCTCTTCCCTCGTGTATTTGTGTTATTTATGTGCAATCTTTATGCTTAATATTATTGTGACAGAATCCCACATCAGAAATTTAAAAGAGAAAACGACGGGTTAATATTTAATAAGAACATGAGTTGAACTAGCCAACAGTTGGATTCAATCTTTTAGTGTGGGTTGGGCAGAGTGGTTTATGGCCCAATCTAGAATTATATCATATCCTTCTCATGCAGGAGAACATGTTTCATTTTTATATGAACATAATGTCTATAAGTTTCATTGACATCTTTCCCAAATTTACATTATTCAGGTGATGGGGAGTAAGACCAAAATTTTCATTGTGTTGGAATTTGTTACTGGAGGAGAGCTGTTCGATAAAATTGTATGCAGATTTTATTCTCCTCCAATTGTCAATTTTCACAATAGGAGTTCCTTTTTTTAGTTTTATTTAATATTTACCAAATATGTATGCAACAAAGGTAAACCATGGACGGATGAGGGAAGATGATGCAAGGAAATATTTCCAGCAACTAATAAATGCAGTTGATTATTGCCACAGCAGGGGAGTCTACCACCGGGATCTGAAGGTTGCTAATGTTTCTACTCTTTCATTCTTATGAAACATAATAATTATACAAACCTATAACTTCCTTGGTTGATTTGCTTTTGCAGCCCGAGAATTTGCTACTAGACGCATCTGGGAGACTCAAAGTTTCTGATTTTGGATTGAGTGCCCTTTCCCAGCAAATCCGGGTAATCACATGGTTATCTTCCCTTAACCTTGCAGTAGTTTTCTCATAATAATCACTCAAAAGTGTTGCAATAAATTTGTGGTTGGTTTCTGAGTTGTTAGTTAAGAGTGTGTGGGTGTTTGGTAGCTACTCTTTTTGACCAGTCAGCGACTTTAGACCCACTAAATTGACTAATGATAATACATAAAGGACGAAGGTACTTTTTGCTGAATTTGTTGATGATGATATTTTATCAATAAGTTATATTGTAATTTTTTTCATACTTCAGTAACTTCATCAATATCAGCCTGAACTTCAACCAAATAGACGCTTACCAAATGGGTTCTAAATCTGCAAGCTTCTTATGTACAACAACCGAATGTTAAATACATAGTTTATGACATGCTTCAGAAGTGATTCATTCATTTAATTTAAATTGGAGTTTTTTCTTTGAAAAATAAATTGCAATACCCATAAGCGCTGGGCGGGGATTAATAGGGAATAGGCATGATTGTTGCAACAATTGAACACTGCTCTGAATTACCACTACAATTTTACAGGATGACGGTTTACTTCACACTACCTGTGGAACACCAAATTATGTTGCTCCCGAGGTATAAACACAACCACTCCAGCATGTAAAGAGAGATCATGTATTTTCTTATCGGCCTAGTATTCCTAAAGAATCAAAGTTCTTTTCTTTAGGTTTTAGATGATCAAGGTTACGATGGGTCGGCTGCAGACTTGTGGTCCTGTGGAGTAATACTCTTTGTATTGCTTGCAGGATATTTGCCTTTTGATGATTCTAATCTTATGAACCTATATAAAAAGGTCAGCTTTTCATACAGCCACACTAGATTTCTCATTTATAACTTAATTTGTTATTTTTAAATCTCTTGTGTGATATGCAGATTTCTTCAGCTGAATTTACTTGCCCACCCTGGATCTCCTTCAGTGCCATGAAGCTTATTACTCGAATTTTGGATCCGAATCCCTCAACTGTGAGTGTAAACCCTTTTTTAAGAAATTTCCTTAAACATTACTAATAAAAATCCATTGGACAAAAATTTCACTATTGGTCACTACTCACTGGTCAACTGTGTTAGTAACACTTTAGTGGTAAAGATTAAAATTAATATTTTTAGCTAATGGTAGTTACTTAGTACATAACATTTAAAGGATTTTTAAATCTCGTATAAGAAGTGAATGTTCTGAGTGATTTCTCCTTTCTGTTGCTTGTGTTTGATTTTTTTAATCATGTTTACTGAACAGCGCATTACCATCCCTGAGATTTTGGAAAATGAGTGGTTTAAGAAAGACTATAAACCTGCCGTATTTTATGAGAAAGAAGATGCAAATGTTGATGATGTGGAAGCTGTTTTTAAGGATGCTACAGTGAGTTAAACGTTATTTTCAGAACTTAACTACAGTAATTGGATGTGTGGTTCATGAGATTCATACCATTTTTGTAATATAACAGGAGCATCATGTTACAGAGAAAAAGGAACAGCAACCAACTGCCATGAATGCATTTGAGTTGATTTCTATGTCAAAAGGGCTCAATCTTGGAAATCTCTTTGATGAAAAGGTTTCTTCTATTCTTATGTTATGATTAAGAATTGATATTAAATCTTAAAAGGTCAACCTAACAGGAGGAGTAGGACAACGTGTCTTGTTGTGATTTATATAAAAAACATTTTTTGGTCTCTCGAACAAGGAATTATCAAATTCTGAAGTTGATACATGGGAACAAAAGCTGATTAGATCAAATATGTTCTTATTATGTTCTTATTCCTCACAGGGGTTCAAGAGGGAAACAAGGTTCACTTCAAAATGCACAGCGAATGAGATAATCAGTAAGATCGAAGAAGCGGCAAAACCCCTAGGGTTTGATGTTAGCAAAAAGAATTATAAGGTAATGTACCATTTCCAACCATTCTGAATCAGTTTTTATTATGTTATGCTTACATGAAATTATGAAAGATTACAATAATTAATGTGCATTGTTACTTTTTATCTGCAGATGCGGCTGGAAAACATAAAAGCAGGAAGAAAAGGGAATCTTAATGTTTCAACCGAGGTGAATGAATAAAATGTTTATTTATGTCACCAGTGTTGAAAGTCTGAATAAGTTAAGATAAGGCATTTTGTTTGTAAGCTAAAGTATGAGTTCTCAAACCAGGTATTTCAAGTTGCCCCTTCTCTTCATCTTGTTGAGGTGCGAAAGGCAAAAGGAGATACATTGGAATTCCACAAGGTAATCATATTCAATGTATTTTGCAATTTGTCTTATTACCAATAATGGTATCAAGGATGGACTTGGGTTTTTCGACATTTAATTCTGGCTGCACCTTGTTTATTTATCCTCTTATGAAGAGAAACGCACAGAAACTGCGTTTCTCGGGAATATAGGTCAACCTCCCTGAACCCCAATATATTCTTATCAGCGGTTAAGTTTCCTTTATAAGTAATTTTAATATATTCACCTAGATTAACCTTCATCCAAATCTTTATTTTCCTTTTGGCTCTGGTAGCACATACCGATTCATGTTAGCCAACCCTAAAGTCTTTTGGGATTAAAGCTTGGATGTTGTTGTTGTTGTACATATAACCGAGCTAATCTTAATAATTATTCGAACAATCTTTGTGTATACACACTTCGGTTCACTTAGGTTTGCCCAACTTTTATTGAACCTAGGTTCTCTCAAGTTGTTCAAGTTTATTTGAGTGCAATCTGTCCAAAGAGAGCCTTAAAGATTTAGCTAAGATTGCATTGCATCTTATAATATAACTACAGTTCATTGTGAATGAATGATCTCTGTAATATTCATCTCAGTTTATATGAACTGTATCAGCTAATTGTGGTTGGATTTGTATATTAATTGCATCTCAGCTGAGTTTCAAATCACTTTTGATATTCTGCAGTTTTACAAGAGTCTTTCAACTTGCCTTGAAGATGTGGTTTGGAGAACAGAAGAAGACATGCAAGAAGCAAAGTAGAGTTTGCCACCATTTCTTTCCAAGCTTTAGGCTTAATCTTTTGTGTTCTTTTATTGGTTTTTTGGGGGTCTTTCCTGGGACCTTTTTCTCCCATGAGAGAGGATTAGATTAGTTGTAGCCTGTAGGCAATGGAAAGTAGTGATAGGTATGGATGTTAATGTTTATTGCTTGTAAGCTGTGAATGTGATTCATGCATTGCTCAATTGAGAGAGACAGCGCCACCTCCCAAAAACAAACAAAATAAATAAAATGCCATTTGCTTTAAGAATCATTCGTTAGAGTCAACAGCAACTCTGTTCATAGTCTTTTAGTTTGAAGTTTGAACCATGTATTACTTTAAATGAAAAAAATCATATTTAAAAATTTTGGGTAGAAACAGAAAAGCAGTTTTAGTTTGGGCTGATTTTTTTAATTGAATGTGAGCTGTTCGAAGGGAGTGTTTTCATTGTTTAAAAAACCCATTATTGAGCTTTTTGCTGAAAACAATAAAACTGCCTTCCTGCCGGGGCCTGTCTTGGGGCATGGGCAAAGAGGAATGCACTTAGGGTCCATTCCGGGTCCATAAATTTCCCAATTATATGGGGCCAAGAGCGTAGCTAGGGGTGGCTAATCCTGGCCCCGGCCCAGCCTAAATATAAAGAATGCTTGTATTTACACTTTTAAAAAAAACATTTAAAATTTTTCTAAATATAAACTTTGTACTTGCTCAGTCCAGCTCAATGCTCTGGCCCCACCCCTGTATGGGGCATGGGCAAAGAGGCATACGCTCAGGGTCCATTCCTCCCCTAGGGTCCATAAATTTTCCAATTATATGGGGCATTGGCAAGAGACATGCGCCCAGAGTCCATTCCTCCTCTAGGGCCCATAAATTTTCCAATTATATATAATACATATGTATATATATATATATATGATGGATAGTCTAGCCGGGGGGTATCTTATCCGAGGGGTTATTGCGGGAATAACTTAGAGAGAAGTCAGAGCAATAGGAGGAGAGAGAGTCGATTTTATTAAATGAACTCAGCGTGTGGAGTTGGGATGTAGATCCTCATTTACAAGGAGAAATGGGCTGCTATTTATAGCAGCAATAAATGCGATGAGAGGACACGTGTCAGTAATCCAACGGCCGAAGGGTCACATCAGCCGGTTGGCACCGGCAGTGGTACGCCCACCGCATTGATTGCGGTTGGCAGATGTGACGTGGCATTAAATGCGGTGGTTGGCTGTCTCTAAAAGGAATCTTCGATGATTGAACATGTCTGGCCGAAGGCTCCTTGTGTAGCCGAGGGCTCCATGTAACCAAGGACCCCTGTGTAGCCGAAGGCGTTGTGTGACCGAAGGCTTGATTCAGCCGAAGGCCCCTCCGGTGCCGAGGGCTTGATAGTGCCGAAGGCTCATGTTTTTCGCCGCTTTCTCCCAGTAGCTTCTTATGCCAGAGAAGGCTATCCTGTGAGTTTTGGAGCCTTCGGCCAATGAGGCCGAAGGCACCCCAGTATGTATTCCGGGCTATTTTGGGGCTTGGGCCGTTGCATTTGGGCCTGAGTTGTTCTCTGGGCTCAACGGACTTGTGTAGGAGAAGTAGGAGTCTATGGGCCGGGGGTTCCTGGGCCATATACTCCATCAGGAGTCCCTCACTCCTTTTGCCGAAAGGTACTTGAGGGAAAAGGAGTAGATGTGTTGATTCTTCTGGGGGCTTCATCATTTAGTTGGGCGCCTTTGTTTGAGAACTTGCCTTCTGCTGATTGCCGAAGGCTTCCCTCAGTCCCTCACATGTCGAGGGTTTTCTGAGGAAACCGTAGGTGTATTGCCTGCATGTGTTGTGATGAGGGCTGCTTCACTTCCGCAAGCGACTTGGGGAAAAATTTTAATACTCTGCCTCTGCCGAAGGGTGTGTTGAAGTATGTACCCGAAGGTTTCTGTTTTGATGTTCACCAGGAGGCTACATGCGTCAATTGTAAATCTTTGCATGAGGATTTTTTGTTCTGTGTGATTCCCGAGGGGTGTATCCCAGTCCCCCACTCCTTTAGGCCGAAGGCAAGTTCGGGCTGAAGGAGTCATGATGTGTTGGTAAGCTCCCGAGGGGTGGTAACTTTGAAGAGCCGAAGGCCTATGCTGCTACGGGCTCGAAGGCGTTTGGTGGAATTCGTTGCCTGAAGGCCGCGGTGAGTGAAAACCGGAGGTTATCATTCGGGGGGCACCCCAGTGTTGCCGAAATATAGTCGTTGTAATATAGCCGTTGGGAGAGGGGTTGACGTGGCGTGTCCTCGTTGGTTTGGGGTGGGCGGCTGCCACCCATTGGTTGAACCGGCGGCCCGTAATGATGGCCTTTTCAAATCGAGGCCCAGTTCTCGAGGCTGAAAGCCTATATATACCCCAAGGTGGAGCTCAATTCCCTTGTGCGTTTTTATGCGATAGCGAAGCTCTGCCAAAATTTCTAGAGAGAGAAAGTTTTTGTCTCGATCAAACCCCTTTTCTCAGGTTAGTTCTTCACCTGTTCTTCGCTTTACTAGCGTACTTCGCTTTTCTCCCTTGGATCTTGTGTTAGGGGTCTTAGGAGCCTTCGGTAAGAACACTTAGGTAGTCCCCCTCTGCCACACTTCTCTTATTCTTTCTTCGGAATCATGTCCTCACAAGGCGATTCCCAAGATATCTCGAGGGAGCCGTTGGCGCAACAGGAAAGCTACTCGGACGTGGAGTCCTCGAGTGCGCAATCCTCGGCGAACAACGACTCAGCGGTTGCCGAGGAAGTTCAAAACAACCTTCGAACTGAGCTGGAAGCGGAGGAGTTTGAGCAGGTGGTAGAGGATGAAGAAATGGCCCTCGCCCTCCAGGTGGCTGAAGAAGAGGAGGAGAAGGAAAGACAAGAAGTTACAATAGCTGTTCTCCCACTTCGCGGTTCCGGCGAAGCGAGCACCTCCCGGCCATTAGATCCAGAACCCCTCAGCGTTGCCGTGGGAAAAAAGAGGAAGAAGACGAAGGCTCCCAAGAAAGGCAAGCAAACCGCTGTGGATTGTGGGAGACCCGTGGGGATACCCGAGGGGCATTCATGGCTGAACACTGCTGCCCTTGCGCTGAAGTCGAGGGCTGACCGGGCCGAATGCTACGTTACCCAGCTGCATGTGGGGCCTTCGGCTACCGTGATTGAACCGGGACCCAATGACCTCCTGTTGCAAGCTCCGGAGGGTTGTTTTGCGGTCCATGTGCTGTCGGTTGCCATGGGCCTCCGGTTTCCGCTGCATCCCTTTCTCCTCGAGTACCTGAGGTATGTGGGTTTAGCTCCCTGCCAGCTAACCCCAAACAGCCATTCCTATATAACTGGCTTCCTGCAGCTTTGTCGATCCCGAGGGGTAACCGCGACCCTCGATCTTTTCTTTCAAAGTTTCAACTTGTGCCGGGGGGGGGGGGGGGGGGGGCACACCAATTCCGAGGGATTTGCCAACCTGCAGCAGCTCGCCCCCTGGAGGCTTTTCGATGACGTTCCTTCGTCCCACAAAGGATGGAAGGATCGATTCTGCTATATCAAGATGGAAGAAAATCCATTTCCGAGGAAACTACGCAACCACTTCAGGCGGCACCCGAAGGTGGGAAGTGCCGCGCTCCAGAGGGAGGGGAAGAAGATCGCCGCTTTGCTGCCGGGGGCCACAAAGCATGTGACAGTCAAGGCCTCGACCCTTCCCGAGGACTTATTAGCCTTAGGCTTCCGGCGGGTACCGATTCCTGGGTGAAAAGGACGAACAGTACCCTGTCTTTGAGAGGGCCTTCGGTGGCGTAGGAGGTAGTTCTCGGAGGCTTCGACTTGTTGTACTTAGGATTTATTGCTTTTTTCATTCTCGTAATTCTTTCCATCGACCTAATCATTGCTACTGTTTTGCAGGTGTTAGTATGGACGTCTCTAGCTTCGCGGCCCTGAAGAAAAAACTGGCCAAGGACCCAAAGAAGAAGAAGGAGACGGGGAATCAGAAACCCGTCGATGAATTCTTCGAGAGAGAGGGGGCCACTCGGGTCCCGGAGGGTGAGGGACCCTCCAAAGCTGATGGTGCTGGTGACGGCGCCGGGGGATCCCAGGCGGAGCCCAAGAGGAAGAATTCCGGGAAGGGCGTGATGCCTCCGGAGAAGAAGAAAAAGAAGGGGGGGCCCGAGAAGAAGGATGCCCCCATCGTCATTGTCGAAGAGCACTCTTCCTCCTCTCCCCCAGAAAATGTCCTCCCTCCTCTCGGGAGCCAAGATAACAGTCTGGCTTGGCCCCGGGATGATGTGCAGTTCTCTATCACCAAGGGAACTGCCATCATGCATGGCACCCTCAACCCGAGGGAGTTCCTAAAGGGTGCCACGCCCCCGACTGACAAGTCGGTGCTGTCGAGGGCTAAGGATGATGCCCTCAGCGCCAAGGTGCTCCAAGCCTCTGTCACCGTAAGTCCCTCTCTTAGCTTTTGTTTAATTGATGGTTTTGGCGTTTTTTTTTTTAACCAAGCTGATCATTGCTGTATGGTGGTTTTGATCTGCAGGCTGCCCTCGGTCTTGGAGAGCTGCTCCAGAGGATGGAGCAATATCAGGCGCAGAAGCGCCAGGCTGATGAGGCCCTGGCGGAGTCCCGGCGGCAACTCCAGGAGGCCCAAGAGACCCTTCGGCTGGAGAAGATGGCGTTCAATTCCATTCTTGAAAACAACAAAGTAATCGCCATGGCCGAGGGGAAGGCCGATGCGGAGAGAGCCGCCGCCGAAGCCTCCAAGGCTGCCGCGGAAGAAGCCGAGGCCAGGAAGAAAGAGGCCGTCGCCCAGGCAGAGAAAGATGTCGTCGATGCCTTCGTTGCTGATGGGTGGAAGGCAGAAGACCGGAAAGGATGGGTGGCCTCGGTCATAGAGCAGGGGGTGGATGCCTGGGTGAAAGGTTCTGGCGCCGAATGGTTAGCCCGAAAGGGCAAAGACTATTATGATGGTGGCGAGTTTTTCACTCAAAACCTCATCTACCGGAGGCTCGCCAGGCACTTCAAGATTGATCCCAAGAAGTTCGACCCAACGGCATATGGCCTCCCCCTTCTGCAGCCAGATGTAAGAGTCCCCCTTCCCGAGGGAGAAGAAAGGCCAGATCTAGAAGATTCTGAGCTGATGGGCGAGGGCGATGATGAAGGAGCCGAAGACGATGCGGCCTCGAGGCAGAAGGAAGATGCCGCCAAGGATGCATGAACTTAGAATTTTCCCAAGTATAAACTCTTGTAATAGTTCGTAGGTTTTCGGCTTCGGCCATGCCTTGTAAACAAACATCTTTTGTACTCTGAAATGTTCCTGCTGATGA